GCACTGTCCAAGAACCGAACCACAGCCTTCTTGTGGAACTGCCACTGCTCCGTACGACCCCATCATCATCATCATCATCATGCAAATAGTAATAATGCTGTGCACAGAACCCCCCACCCAGCTTCCGCAGCTGGCTGGCCTTTCCTCCTCGGGTTCATGAGACCCTCACACGACCCCATCTGGGGAAAAGAAAAATGCAAACTTGGGTTCCCCGAGTGTCCACTGGCCTGGGCATACTGGCAGCTACAAGCTCCTGTTTTTTGGTATGTGTGCGCGTGCACGTGCGCATGTGCACTAGGGCTTGAGCTCAGAGCCTGGCTGCTGTCCTTGAGTCTTTTTTGCTCACGGCAGGAGCTCTACCACTTGGGCCACAGCTTTACATCTAGCTTTTTGGTGATGAGAGGTAAGAGTCTCTGGGACATTGCTGCTCAGGCTGGCTTTGAACCTTGATCCTCAGATCTCAGGCTCCTGAGTAATTGGCTGGGATTACAAGCAGGAGCACCAGCCCCCAGCCCCGTTCTCTTTTCCAGATCTCAGGGGCAGCAGCCTGTGCTGTAAGACCGCGGCAGAGGAAGACCGTCTGCCGACAGAGCTATGAGGACGTCCCAGGGGCGTGGCGGCCTCCTCAGGGGCAGGCCTGACTCCCGCCACGAGGATTTCTGTGGGGGAGAGGCAGGAAGTGTGCTCGTGTTATAGGGGGGTGCAGAGGGTGAGAAGAAGAACTAATGGCTGGCCGTGCTCCAGGCTCAGGGTTCTGAGGGAGAAAAGATCAGCGGATCAGAGCAGCCACTTAGAGAACACAGATTCTGGTGGGGGAAAAACATCAGGTTGGGAGAATTCCACAGACAGCACGAGGCTGGAATGGTTTTAGTAACGAGGAGGGTGGGGAGCAGAGAGAGGAAAGCTGGAGAAAACCACAGCAGTGGGGTTCATTGGAGATAAGAGTCTCACGGACTTTCCTTGCCCAGGCTGGCTTTGAACTGCGATCCTCAGATCTCAGCCTCCTGAGTAGCTAGATGACAGGCGTGAGCCACTGGAGCCCGGCTAATTCACCACAGTTTTAAGAGCTGCTGCCCGACCAGCTCGCTGTAAGAGATGTAGATGACAGCAGCCAGCAAGCCTCACTTACCTTAAACAGATCTGCCACTATGCCATAATCTGCCACTTGGAAAATTGGAGCTTCTGGGTCTTTGTTAATAGCCACAATTGTCTGTGAAGCAGAAAGAAAGAGGTGGGCTTTTGTCAAGAAAACACAGCACAGAGGCTGGCTCTGTTTCAACTCCCCCCTCAGGACCTATCAATAGTCTGCAAATGTCTATCAAGGAGTGTCGGTGGCATACTTTTGTCCGCAATAAAGTGTCTGCCACTCCCCACTAGGCCCTCTGAGAATTCAAAACCATGAGGCTGGGTATTGTGGCTCAAGCCTGTAATCCTGGACCTTGGGAGGTGGCGACTGGGGATAGTACTTGGAGGTCACCCGAGACAGAGAGACGTTGTGAGACTCCATCTCCACTAATGGCTGAGTGCAGTGGTTCAGGCCCATCAGCCCAGCACCTCAGGGATAGGGGCTCGTGCTTTGGCCTGGGGCCAGCCCCGGGCACTTCCCATCTAGCTGGGGGCCCAGGTATGCACCACCACACCTAGCCTGTTGGCTGAAATGGATCTTGCTAACCTTTTGTGTGGGCTTGCCTCAAACTGACATCCTCTCAAACCTCTGCCTCCCATGTGGCAGGGGTTACAGACATAACCTTACTCAGCAGTTGAAGAAAATGTTAAGCAAGGTGCTAAGGATCATACCTGTAATCCTAGCTATTCAGGAGGCTGAGAACTAAAGGCAGGTTCAGCCCAGGCAGAAAGTCCATGGACCACACACACACAGACAGACACACACACACACACAGACACACACACTCTCACTCTCTCTCTCTCTCTCCAATATGTACAAAAAATCCATGCAGAAAATTCAAGCAGGAAACTATCTCTTACAAAAAATACCAAGCATTTCCATTACCTACTATAAAAATATTCTTAAATGTGAAAGGTTATGACCAATTATAAGCAGAATATGGGAGAAGGTTGGTATTCCTCAAAAATACCTGCAGTACCATCAACAGTAAGATAACATTACAGTGCTCACCCCAGTGTGGTATGGTTGTCATAAATAGCACATTATAACAAGTCAGCTCTCTGGAGGTGGTTAGATTTCTACCTGTTGGCGTACCTTAGGAAAACTACAGGTATTAATATACTACGTGCTTCCATACAGTCAGGCTTAAAGCACTAGGATTCGTATGTGCAGGTCCTTGAATGAGCGCCTCACAGGGCTGACAGAACATGCTAGAATGTCTGAGATCTGAGCTCAGACAACACAGAAACAATGTTTCAAATGAGTGTGGACCCCAGGCCCCAGGGGTAAGCACTGTACAGAGCAGGGTTGCACCGAGGAATTTCCCAGGAAGTACTCTTCTGGGGACCAGTAGCCAGCGTCACAGCACCAAGCAGAGATTTATTTAATTAATGACAGCTAATGATTCTCCCGAGCCACCTGGGGAGACAGCGGACAATTTAATCATCTGAAAGCTTCCCTGTCTTCTTATAAAGAGTTATTTTAGAACCAGGCACCCTAACTGTGAGCAAGGAACAAACAGGGTATTATAAAATTAAAAAAAAAAAAAAAAAAAAAAAAAGGCCCAGGCGCCAGTGGCTCACGCCGGTAATCCTAGCTACTCAGGAGGCTGAGAGCTGAGGATTACGGGTCAAAGTCAGCCACCACAAAACCAGAAGTGGCGCTGTAGCTCAAGTGGTAGAGCACTAGCTTTGAGCTGAAGAGCTGAGGGACAGCATTCAGGCCCAGAGTTCAGGCCCTAGGACCGACAAAAAAAAAAGATGTGGTTGGGTAGGGGTGGCTCACGCCTGTAATCCTAGCTACTCAGGAGGCTGAGATCTGAGGAAAAGTTCAAAGCCAGCCCAGGCAGGAAAGTCTGTGAGACTCTTATCTCCAATAAACCATGAGAAAACCAGAAGTGGTGCTGTGGCTAGTGGTAGAGCGCTAGCCTTGAGCTGAAGAGCTGAGGGACAGTGTTCAGGCCCAGAGTTCAAGCCCCACGACCAAAAAAAAAAAAAAAAAGATAGATGCGGGCTGGTTAGTTTTCGAGATTATAGCATTCCTAAAAAAAGAGAATCATAAAAGCCAGCGCACCAGTGGCTCACACCTGTAATCCTAGCTTCTCAGGAGGCTGAGATCTGAGGATCATGGTTCAAACAAACTCAGCCAGAACAAGAAAAATCTGTGTGAGTTTCATCTCCAATTAAGCATCAAAAAGCCAGAAATGGAAGTGTGGCTCAAGTGGTAGAGCACTAGCCCCGAGCAAAAACAACTAAACAAGATCATGAGGCCCTGAGTTCAAGCCCTAGTTAGTCACACACAAAAAAAACATATGAGCTGGGCATCGGTGGCTCATGCCTGTAATATTAGCTATTCAAGGGGCTGAGATCTGAGGTTCAAGGCCAGCCCGGGCAGGAAAGGCCATGAGATTCATCTCCAATAAACTACTCAGAAAAAAACTGGAAGTAGCTCAAAGTGTTAGAGTGCTAGCCTTGAACAAAAGAGCTCAAGGACAGTGCCTGGACCCCAAGCCCCAACACTAACAAACACAATTGTTTGTACTCAAGAGCTCCTCATAAATTCAAGCTCTTGGGGCTGGGAAGGTGGCTCAGTGGTAGAGCGTTTGCCTTGCATGCCTGAGGCCCTGGGCTCGATTCCTCAGCACCACATAAGCAAAAAGAAAAAAGCCAGAAGTTGCGCTGTGGCTCAAGTGGTAGAGCACTCGCCTTGAGCTGAAGAGCTGAGGGACAGCGCCCAGGCCCAGAGCTCAGGCCCCATGACCGGCAAAAAAATAAATAAATTCAAGCTCTTCTTCCTAAAGCATTTAAAAATGGTTATATGATTATGCACAGTTCATCCTAGCCACTCATCTGATCAGACCTCGCACCTGTCCTTGAGAGCATGATGGTCAGTGGTGCGCAGGGGCAGGGACGCAGAGATGAGAGTCACTGCGGGACCCCAGGTCAGCACCCAAGAGCACACTGAATAAGTATGGATCTGTGGCCTGGGTGGAGGCCACCTGGCTGACTCTGTCCTGTCAACCCCCAGCCCCACCCCCCACCCCCCATTCACCACCCTCATTCAGTCCACCATCTCCACCTCATTGCGCCTGAGTGCTGCGCATGAGCTTTTTCACTCAAGGCGAGCGCTCTACCACTTGACCACAGCTCCACTTCAGGTTTTCTCATGGTTCATTGGAGATAAGAGTCTCAAGGACTTTCCTGCCTGGGCTGGCTTTGAACTGTGATCCTCAGATCTCAGCCTCCTGAGTAGCCAGGATGACAGGCGCTGAGCCACCAGCACCGGCTTCCAGCTCTGTTCTTTTCTTCATCAATGCGTCCATCACCGCCGCCCCTGGCGCTGCTGACAGCTCTGTAGAGGCCCGCGCCCGACAGTGACGTCTGACTGCTTCTACCAACGCTGCAGCCACAGGGGCAGCGTGCGCATTTCTTCGAGTTAGACATCAAGCCTGTTAAAAGTTTTATTACCTCTGACAGCACGCTTCCGTGTGAATGGACACGCACAGGGGTGTCAGAGGCAACTCTGACTTGTGAAAGGGAAGTTCATTATTCAAGCCCTGTGTTGGTGCGCATGAATTCACGTGCCCTTGGATTCTGAGACACATGTTCGCGCAGGATTCCACGCGGTGCTCCGAGTGGGAGCGGAGGGCCAGCGCTCTCCACTCAGGTCCTCCCCATCACTGGCGTGTTATGACGGCCTAAGAGACCTGCACACGTTAGTGACATGTATCGGCAGACGGCGAGGGGACCAGAGGGAAGCAAAGACAGACAATCAGGGAAGGAGTGCCTCCCCCCAAGGTTTTTTTGGTGCCAGTCCTGGGGCTTGAACTCAGGACCTGGGTGTTATCCCTCAGCCTTTTCACCAACAGCTGGAGCTCTAGCACTTAAGCCACAGCTCCACTTCCAGCTTTTTGCTGGTTAGAGATAAAGAGTCCCATGGACTTTCCTGCTCCGATGGCTTTGAACTGCGATCCTCTGATTCTCAGCCTCCTGAGCAGCTGGGATTACAGGTGTAAGCACTGGTGCTTGGCTCACCACACTGTTAACGCCTCACCTTTCCTATTCATGGGCTGTCAGAGCTAACGGGGGCCATGGTGGGCACCATGCCCCATCTGAACCTGCAGACCAAGAGAGTGAGCTTTGAGCTCCGGACTGGCCTGCCCTGCAAGCCGGTGACAGAGCCCCGTCCCTGCTCCCGTCTCCAGCCAGGGACCAACAGCTCTGTTTCCTCCAGCTCCCACTGAAGCAAAACCTGAATCTTACAAGTGAAAACTTTCCCTTTTAGCGCCATTTGTTCCGTGAGCAATTACCTTGCTGTCTTTCATTCCAGCCAAATGTTGGATGGCTCCAGAAATCCCAACAGCAATATAAAGTTCCTGGAACAAGAGACCACATGATTAATGCGTATTTATATTCTGGAATACATTCCCAAGCGTTGGCTCTTCGCAGCTGTTCAATGAAGCGGACGCGGCGTGTGCGGCTTCCGTCACGCCTGCCTTTGTCACACAGCTCTTTCTCCAGAGAATTCCCACGGTTGTGGGATGAAATAATCCACACGTGGACAGACAGCGGCTGGACGCTGTGTCCAAACGTGGCTCTAAGGATTCTAGAGCAACTGCCCCAGTCTCTCGGTCCACCTCTCCATGGCCTGTGGCGCCCTGCCATACAGATCCACGGCGCCCTGGCTCACAGCCCAGCCATACCGACTCGTGGTTATGAACGCAGTCTAACACATCTAAACACACATACCAGCCAGGCCAAATAGTTAGGTATGTTTATTGAACTTTTTAATTACAAGAATATAAATGTAGTGCCACACACTCCGAAAACTTTTTCCTTGAAAACAGATGGACCTGGAATAACCATGCGAAGTGAAGTATACCAAGTTCAGAGAGACAAGCGACGCATGCTCTCTTCTCATAAGGGGAAGCTAGATCCAACACAGAACTGGACGTGGGCATCTATCCAGCACTTTGGGTACCGCCCCCCCACACACACACAGAGGGAAGGAGGAGACCCTGAGGGGAGGAATCCAAAGGTGGAACGTCTCCAAAACTCGAGGAAATAGAAAAATGGGTTTTTACTGTTATGGGTGGTGGTGGTATTTGTTTTGCTTTGGGTTTTTGTTTTTGACAGTCTTGGGGTTTGAACTCTAGGCAGGGGCACTGTCCTTGAGCTTCTTTTGCTCATGGCTAGCACTCTACCACTTGAGCCATAGTGCCACTTCTGGCTTTTTTGAGTTTATTGGAGATAGGAGTCTCAAGGACTACTTTACTGCCTAGGCTGGCTTCAAACCCCAATCCTCAGATCTCAGCCTCCAGAGTAGCTAGGATTACAGGCATGAGCCACTGGCACCTGGTGAGTTTTTTTTTCCCCCTTTGGTGGAGGGGGAGTAAGGGGTACAGAAAGAGAGGAGGAAGGGTGAACGAATGCAATCATGCTATTCAGAAGACACTCTGGAAAATACGTATGTAACTTGTGGGTAGGGATGGGAGGGGGAAACTGGGTTGCAGAAAGCAAAGAAGGAAGGGGTGACATTGTCCAAAAAAGAAATGTACTCATTGCCTGCCTTATGAAATGGTAACCACTTTGTACAATACCTTAACAAGAAAATTATATTTGAAAATTTTCCCCGGGTAAAAAATAACAAACCTAGCCAGGCGCTGGTGGCTCCCGTCTGTAATCCTAGCTACTCAGGAGGCTGAGATCTTAGGGTCACAGTTTGAAGCCAGCCCGGACAGGGAAATCCATGATACTCTTATCTCCAATAGCCACCAAAAAGCCAGAACTGGAGTTGTGGCTCAAATGGTACAGTGCCAGCCTTTAGGAGAAAAAAGAAAATCGATGGGACAGTGCCCACACCCTGAGTTCAAAACCCCAAATAATAAAATTCCAAAATGCCTATGTTTGAAAACTTAAAACTCTCTGCTGTCATGAAGAAGTGATTTAATAAGATCTTCATTAAAAGAGCTTAGATGTTCCACTCTGCCTACAAGGTATAATTAAAGCTTCAGTGGAAACGGTTTCCCACACATAAAGTGAAGTGGCATGTCGTAGCCTGGTAGGAGGCGTGGCTGCGTGCACACACTGGTTCTGTCACACCAAATCTTTTGATAAGGACAAGGAGAAAGCACTTGGGGGGGGGGGGCTCACGGTCTCACCGCCGGCCACTTCGACACCAATGGCAGCTGTCAGGCGGCTCTTGCTTGCTTTCTGCCGGCTGAGACGATCTAATTTACCAAGTGCACAGCCAGCACAGAGCATTTCAACGAGCAAGCAGGCTGAAGATCTGAGGAGCAAAGTTCAAAGCCAGCCCGGGCAAGAAAGTCCATGACACTCTGATCTCCAAAAAGCTGCACATGAAGCTGTGGATCAAGTGAATGAAGGCTATGCTTGAGTGGAAAAGCTGAGATGGTCCTCAGTGCTGAGATTATAAACCAACAGAGGTACTCGGCGCGCAGGCCACCGCTCTGTCATGTGGGAATGTAGCAAGTGACTCAGCCATGGGAGCCGGCCACACCATGCAGCGCGGGCTCGTTTCTGATTCTGCTGGCGCTATCTAGGTTTCTCGGGCCATGGGAAGTCACGGCGCCTATCTGGTTGCTCCTTTGCTTACTTGAACATAAGGAAGGGGGGTGTGGCTGAAGAGCCGGGGCCTGAGTGTGGGGAAGGTCTCCTGTATGCATGGCTCTAGGTTCAAAGCCAACCAGGCCATGACTCCACGGCGTGTGCCATGAGTCTGTGGGCTGTGACATGCCCCGCTGTCCTCACGCAGAGGCCCGGTCCCTGCGCTGTGGCCTCCCCAGGGACACAGAGAGAAAAACAAGCTTCTTTTCCATTTCAGATTCATAAGTAACTTTGGCTGATGATCTTAAAATCATTTCCCTTTCTTCTGACTAGCACTTCATTCATAAAGGGTCATTCATTAAGATATATCAAATATATATATTCAGGGGGCTGGGAAGGTGGCTCAGTGGTAAAGTGCTTGCCTGGCATGCATGAAGCCCTGGATTTGATTCCTCAGTACCACATACACAGAAAAAGCCACAAGTGGAGCTGTGGCTCAAGTGGTAGAGCACTAGCCTTGAGCAAAAGAAGCTCAGGGACAGTGCCCAGACCCTGAGTTCAAGCCCCAGGACCGGTAAAAAATTAAAATATATAATATATTCACTAAAGCACACAGGGTTGTTTTTGTCAGTTGTGGGCTTGAACTCTGGGCCTGAGCACTGTCCCTCAAGCTCTTCAGCTCAAGGCTAGCACTCTACCACTTGAGCCACAGTGCTACTTCCGATTTTCTGGTGGTTTATCGGAGGTAAGAGTCTCACAGACTTTCCTGCCCAGGCTGGCTTTGAACTGTGATCCTCAGATCTCAGCTTCCTGAGTAGCTGGGATGACAGGCGTGAGCATGGATGCCCACTTTGCCACCAGTGCCCTGACAAAGGGTTCTTATATAATGATTTTGAGAGCAAGTTATTTAGACCAAAAGAATCTAACAGAATGATTCTGAAAGCAAGTTATTTTGACAGACAGTCAGACACTGGGCCACTAACCACTCTTTCTGTACACTCTTCTAGACACTCCCAAAGCAAGCACTGGAAAGATCGATAGTCCTATAAATGAGTCTTTCTGACACACGTGTCTACATTAAAATTCAACAAGTCTTAAAAGCTCCATTTGCATCATGAAATGCTAAGAAAAATGTTGACTCACTCTGGCGGTAAGCATAAACATCATATAAATAAGTCTACTTTAAACTCTGCCCTCCAAATGAATTCCGCTGATGTGAAGCATGAACCTGGTAAGCAGAAAACAGATCTGAGCCACGGGCAGGTGCCCCAGGCCCAAGCATCAGCAGGGACCCCCCAAATGGGCAAAGAGCAGGGGCGTTTTCTGAGAAGCATAAAAGCACTGCAAGTCGGAAGCATGAGTTGGGAATGGGTAGCTTTCTTCTTCCTTTTAAAAACCATATACAGGCAATTAGACTAATATCGGAGAATGCCTCCTCAAGGCTCAGAACGCATCTCTGCATCTCAATAATGATAATTAGCATGTACCCAACTCTCCAGATGCTGATTTGCAGAGCATTTCAGATACAACACAGCCAGGCCGACCCTGCCCCAGGCGCCTTCCCTCCAAATCAGGAAAATGACTGGGAGAGAAAATAAGGGAAGCAGTTGGAGGGAGAATAGCAATTAAGGGTTCAGAGAATGAGGGATTAAAGAAAAGAGCAGACGCACAAAGAAGGGGGGTGCTGGAGCTGGTCTGGGTAGTTTTAGCAAGGCAGGAAATCCAGGGTGGATGGAGGAGGGAGAGAGGAGCAGGACTGGCAGCAGTGCTGTGGTCCCTCCATGTAAGCAAGAGGCAATCATGACCTGAAGAAAGAACAGCACCCACCTAAGCACTAACAAGCACTGTCAAAAGTTCTACCTTTGCAGGGTGCCGGTGGCTCACGCCTGTAATCCTAGTACTTAGGAGGCTGAGATCTGAGGATCACAGTTCAAAGCCAGCCCGATCAGGAAAGTCCATGAGACTCTAGTCTCCAATAAACCACTAGAAAGCCGGAAGTGGCGCTGTGGCTCAAGCGGTAGAGCGCTAGCCTTGAACTGAAGAGCACAGGGACAGTGCCCAGGCCCAGAGTTCAAGCCCCACAATCGACCAAAAAAGAAAAAAAAAAGGTTCTACCTTTGTCAGGTACCGCCCACCTGTAATCCTTGCTTCTCAGGAAGCTGAGAACTGAGGATCACAGTTCAAGCTGGCCTGGGTAGGAAAGTACAGGAGGTTCTTTTTTTTTTGCTAGTCATGAGGCTTGAACTCTGGGCCTGGGCGCTGTCCCTCAGCTCTTCAGCTCAAGATAAGTGCTCTACCATTTGACCTATAGCACCACTTTCCAGTTCACTGGAGGCAAGTCTCACAGATGTTCCTGCCTGAGCTGAGCTGGCTTCAAACCATGATCCTCAGATCTCAGCCTACTGAGCACCCAATGAGCACTCAGCCAATTTGGTTTTTTTTCTTTTTTTTTGGGGGGGGGGAGGGGAGTCAGTCATGGAGCCTGAACTCTGGGCCTGGGCGCTGTCCCTCAGCTCTTCAGCTCAAGGCTAGCACTCTACCACTTGAGCCACAGCGCCACTTCCGGCTTTTTTCTTTTTGCTTATGCGGTGCTGAGGAATTGAACCCATGGCCTCATGCGTGCAAGGCAGGCGCTCTACCACTGAGCCACCTTCCCAGCCCTCAATTCCTTCTTCCCACCACACATCCAGGATGGGGCCGTGGTCCTCAGGGGTCTCAGGACTTCTGTGTACACCCAACAACTCTGGAGAGCCACCATTCCTACACTGTTGGAGTATATTTCCATTACAGCAATCTTCCAGCAGAGGGC